ATCCTGCTTTTAGTTCCGCGTCACGTGTACGCGGTTTTTTTTATACTCCGCCGTCGTTGACAACGCGAACGATTTATTGTTTGTAATTTGAATTTGATGTGCCAATTTTATACGAATGAATCACATTTTGTTATGGTAGCGGATTCGAGGTTCGTTTATGTATCGTTTTCATCGTGCTCAAGCCTTTCGTCATCATGAGTCTCTCTCTCTCTCTCTCTTCATCACAGTGAGTACGGGTGCTGAGGAAGAAGAGAGCGTAGATGAACAGACTCCTACTCATAGAGTGCGCCACCGTCACAACCAACGCGAGGGCGAGGATACACCGAACTCTTCCCACGACGAGAAGTCCGTGACGCAGCCAAGCTCTATCAGGGGCCGAGTGACGTCACTGCCCGCAGAATCGACAACGAGGAAGAAGTATCATGGTAGGGTTCTTGCTGCCTCATGGTGTTGTTGTTGTTGTTGTTGTTGTTGTTGTTGTTATATATTGTCGACGTCGGAGTCTCATGTCAGTATATAGGCTCGTGAATGAATTTCGCTCGTGAATTTATAATCAGCTTTGAAAAATAATTTATTTAACCCAATCTGCATGTTTGTCTAGCTGCGCGCAGATATTAATAACGGCTCTTTCACTTAATGACACTCTTATTAAAATACAGAACGCAGAGTTAATATTAGCTCGGAATATAATATCGGACCAAATCTGCATTGTATGCGATCTTTTATGACGCAGCTCGTAATATGCTATCTTTTTTTTCCTTATCGCCAGAAGTGGAGATCAGAGAGAATGAGGTTTCCCCGGAGGCCGGCGCTTACTTCAACACGGCTAGCTCACTACACACGTTACCCACTATCGCCAACGTTGTCGTCATCACCGGTCTGCTTTCATTCTGCGCAAGAATGTTGCATTTGTCATCGTAGTCGTATGTGATACCTTTTGTATTAGCTCTGCAGCAATCGCCTGGAAACTTGATTGCTACTAGCCATTTCATTTTGGCGCGGTAAAAGTCTGAAAGCGTGCGCGCGCCAGCTGACAGTAAAAGCATTTAAGATGAAAGGAAAACAGGCGGGCGTTATTACCCATTGCGTTTTCCTGAAGAAATAAATGGATGTTTTAGACCTTACTATTAAAGGTGTGGTTTTCCACCTTAACACGACGAAATTGCGCCTAGCCACATGTAGCGCAAAGACTCACACAGAGTGGCAGGATGCGCCGGTGGCTAATTTAAGATGAACCTACAAGACTCGCATGATGGCATGACTACTTCACACATGGCTATTGTAATATCTCACGCGCGCATATTTGTGGGCCACGCGACTTGCAAACTTCGTCGAGCGAGGGGAGAAATTCCGTTTTCAAACGCGAACCGATCGATGAACGTGTGGTACAAATAGGAAATATATTTTACTGGTTTCCAGGCACCGATGGCAGAACCATTGTGTAGATTATGGACCAATCGGGCTCAGATGATGCACTGAGATGATTGTGATTGGTTGACTGTATTGTGATTCATGTATAGTTATCGTTGAGTTTGTATGTTGGTTGTTCTTAGGTTTAATGGTAATTAAAATGGCTCACCAGGTAGAAACACGAGAACAGCTGTGTGCTGACTCTGCCTGACTAGTTATCAGGGGCAGCACTGTACGTGTTCTATCTATTTAGCCCAGTATTTTTTGTAAGAAAATAGTAAAAACTCCGCTACGATAATATAATAACGGTTGAGTTCTTAACAGTTTCGAATTCGTATTCTGTAAATAGGGACGATAGTCATAGTAATATTAATAATACTTAATATTATAGGCTATGAAGCATGATCATAATTTTGTGTGGATTTTCTAGCACTTGATCACTGCCTAATTGAATGTTATCTTCTACTGGACCGCCAATGTTTGGTGCTAATGGTGGCTGCGTGTAGGATATTATTACATGCCAACTTTCCAGAAGAGATGGTAGAAAAAATTATATATTATATTACTGTGACTCGCGCTTGTTACATGACTCCAGCTTTTAGATCAGTATTTTCGCAGAATTGAACACGGTAAAAGTTGTAAAATAGCGAGAAAATGTTGAAAAGTCTTATATCATATATGCTCGTGTATAAATTGCTGTAAATAGCTTGCTTTACTGCAGTAGCGATGTGCTTTGTGCCGTATGCTCATTTAAATTTTATATCATGTGATACCATTCACTGGAGTGCGTGTACGTGTGTGCGCACGGTATCACGTGGATGGTATTTGACTAGATGTGGGGTTGGAGGGAGTTGCCTCTTCATACTTTGTGAGAAAACGTAAGAGCTCGAGTGTCCCCGACATACAGGCGATCGATTATCGGAAATCAACCAATCGACCGCTAAATTAAAATTTCTTGTTATTTCGGCATTTAGTAACTGTTTCGCTGGTAAAACTAACCGTTTAGGCTTGGCCGTTGATAGACCGGCATTATAGAAACGCAGAAGCGGCGGTGGCGCAGCGCGGTGCAACGCGCAAGTTGCTAGGATGATAATGCAGCTTCTCACGTTGCTGCTCTCTCGCAAATTAAATTTTGCTCACACGAACCTATCCTAAACCAGAGATCAGATTTCAATCGATATCAGCCGCCATGTTGACACTGATATGTGAGTGGGAGAACCTGTAGACGTATTATATTTATAATGAATATTAACAATAATTATTATCGATAGGCAGAGGAGAACTGACGAAGGCATTGTAATGGTGAATAGACATTGTTCCTCCAAGAGTGGATAGAACGGGAGGTAGTCCATGCTTAGTTTCCAAGTAAAAATGTGCCATTTCCTAGTTTCCGGTTGATCGCAATGTCGGCTTTCCCGCGTTCCGGTTGACTTCTATTCCCGAATCACGAAAAATTTATCCGGTATTTTCAGGATTCCAAATAATTAACACGGTCCAATTCCGCGTCCCGAAAATAACAGCCCCCCCCCCTCTTTCAAGCTGCTGGCATAATCCCTGCGCGGATTTGTTAAAATGACGCATCCAGATACAAGGAAGTAACCATGTTTAGAAGTTTGAGCTTATTTTTCTATAATTGCTAAAAAGCTAATACCTTTCCACTGGGAATCACCACACGCCATTTTTTATATTTATCAGCAAGGAGTTTGTTATGATAGTGGCAAATATAACGTTGCTGTCTGACGTGGTTCACACACTGAATCTATAGGCAGTTTTGTGATTGAAAGTAGATATCTACAGAACAACAAGATTTTCTTTATTTTGTTTGTTAGTGTGTCTTCGGGATATGAGCGCAAACACGTGTTAATGTGGGCTGGCTATAGTTATTATCAGAAGTAGATAATAGGGAAAATTCCCTATTATCTACTTCTGTTATTATCGTATAGTTTTACCATCGTACTCAAAAGTGAATGAGCTCATTTTAGCAGTGGTAGTACATCGATATAGACCGGCGTATCCACACATCATACGGCTTTCATGCACGAGCCATCTTGCTTAGAATTAGGCGAGCTAACCACGGTGAAAAGAAATGATTTCTAAATGCGATAGGTAGCTGATAATTTAAGCCGTGGTCGCCGATGCATTGAATTATATTACGGCGGTTAAAATGGGCAATTCTGAGTAGAATTCCCGACCGTAATGCCGTGCTGATGCGTGTGGCCTAGCATAATTGTACAGATTTTCCATGTCCTAGAGTAATATTGCGTGCGGATTTATGTCATCCGTAATCCAGTTTCATTTAGTATGGAAGGATTTTTGTAATCGTAAAGACGTTTTGCACTTAACAAGGACCCTAACGGTTCGGAAATTAATCCGGAATAATGAGTTATTGAATGCAGAAATGCGCAGACATTGAAAGCAGAAATGCAGCGTGCGGCTCCGTATATATACGCATGTGCGTGAATCCGTAAGCAATTTTAGAACCTTTGTTTGAGAAATTGGCAAAGTCGAGCCAGAAAAATAGCAGTTGGAAAAGATCCAGGAATATTTCCTAGCTTCCCTCTGCTCGAGCCAGCGCACGCTGCAAGCCAATCTGTATACAATGTTGCCGCATGCCACGACTCGTTACCAACTCTCTCTCTCTCTCTCTCTCTCTCTCTCTCGCAATTTTGTGCAACAATTATGAGATAATGGGGAAGCATTTGATGCCGCTGCTGCGACCTCTAATTGCGTTTCTTATCTGATGAGACGACTTGTGCAAACCGACGAGATCTCGATGAATGCATGCCTCCGCCGTTTACTCAAATTTATTCATGCACTGGCGGCATTTTGATGCTTGTTGCGGGAGACATTAATCGTGCAGGATTAGGGACTACAGTAGTGATGTTGGCTGTCATGTCTCGTGCGTACGTTTCTACGCGATCATGAATCATGTGAGATGGTCAAAGATGGCGGGCGAGACTACCTGGACGAAAGGTCGAATCAGGATTATTTATTTTCTGAGATTTTGTACATATCTTGTACATAATAATAATGTGAAATATACAGTAATAAATGTATAATAGTTCTTAAAAAAAATAATGCATGGTTGTGTTTTTCGTTTCGTCTCGTTTTAATATAAAAAATCTCATTTTGTAGACGTAATGGAAAATTTACATCACGTTTAATAACGTTAAATCGACGATAAAAAGGATCTAAATATAATAACTGCTTCAAAGATCGCACGCTAAAACGATGGCGTTCATATTGTAAACATGTGAGGGCATTGTAAGAGTTCTGTCAAATTGTCACTTTCCTTTTCGGTTACAATCGTACAGACTGAAATCTCGAAATTGTAGGTATGCAGATACACGCAAAAAGCTCTCAACTCGTAACGTACTAATATCATAAATCTTTATTTCCTGTCAGTATTTTAACACAATACCCAAATTTCTAAAGTGCAACACCTCTCCAAATTAAACATATATTTACTAAAATATTACATCTCTATAAACACACCTGTGGAGCTTCTGGTCCAAGCCCATAGAGGGCGTTGGTACACAAACCCACAGCGGCCGCCTGTACAGGACAATTGAGCAAATCCATACAATGGGTATAACACAGACCGAGTAGCCGCTGACATCCTATTTAAAGCGTTTAGCAGGGCGTACTAATTCAAAAACCTTCTAGTATTTACATCCAGGTGCGATGGAACCACAGAATCGTCTTCAATGGCAGGCAGATGCGCATAATCTCTAGGCAAAAAATCATACAGAGGGAAAAGAAATTCTTGGGAGAAACAAGTCCTTGTGTTTCGGGCCTTCGTCCATTGCCTTGACCGCCTACTAGTCACAATGCTCCAGCTATACAATAATATTACTACACCCATAAGCTATCGCCATTTCCGCTGTCTCCACGCAAGCAGGTAATAACAGCCACTGGCCGTGCTCTTGCGCACTCACTCACACACGCACGCGCACGCACGCACGCACACACTTACACACGCACGCAAACTCTGGTTGATGCAACATTTGAGGCTGATCGAGTATTTTAACCACTTACAGGGAGCAGAATATATATTATCAAGACAACATAATACAGCGAACAGAATAGAATACACATGATCTTGTTGCCAACACGACCCATCATCCACCGATTCATCTTCATCCATAACCTTGAAAGAATTTAACACAAGACGTGGATAGGAATACACAGCTACACTGAGACGACATTGTCAGTAGTTATTATATCATGTGTGCTGCTGCTGCTGGCTGCGACGCAACAACAGGAAACCATGCCACACGTTGCATGCCATCCTCACTCATATTATTCTGTTCTCCATTCTAGGTTTTCTTGACTATATACCTATATATGTCGTATACATATATATATATATATATATATATATATGTGTGTGTGTGTGTACACGAACACATATGCTTACATAAACCATACAGATTTCCAATCTTTTTTATTCTACATCTTGGCCTGCCTTCAGCTGTTGACTGGGAAAACCAAATCGCACACTATAAACGTATAATGTGCTACATTAGCATTACATTACAGTAGTACTAACTAAAAATGAAAAATAACACAAAATCGATAATAGCACTGTAGTGAAAACCGGCACAGCTCTGCATTAAAAACACAACAATAGCGCGCGCGCTCTCTTTCTCGTATATACGGGATGATGTCATAGAATACCTCGCGATAATCCAGCATGTACCTGCTACATGCCAAACGTATAATAAAACCCACACTGGTATGGGAGAACATTATTTTGTTCCAATTTCTAAAAGTTTGTCTTGTAAAAGGATTCACAATAATGTAATCAAAGCAGAACCGGCATATTTTTAATGAGTTTACACATTCCATTACATCCAACGCCTAAAAAAACTTTGGATGTTATATATCACCTAAGAATTTATAATAGAATTTGTATTGCACAAACGAAAATGAAAACAAAAACAGTATTCGTCAAAAGCTCAAGAGCATCTGCTGCAGCTGTTGCCATGGTAACATGCTTGGCAACAACACAAGTTTGCTCTAAACAACAACAGAAGGAATGAGTTGTCTGCACACGATATATATGTAGCTTCCATAAACCTTAACACGGCTAGTATATATTCATGTATAAAGTACTTCATACGTAATATGGTATTTACACATTTTTCAACCAATTTCATCACTGGAAACAAATCACAAGAAGTTTCTGTAAGGTTTCTTTGAGGGCAAAAATAAACATGTACACAAATATGGTGCCGTCTAGAACTCACCATGTACACTACGCCCCATTTTCCTCGATGGATGTGCGAAACCACCGATTTACACCGAAACGTTTGCCTCCACTTATATTACTTTCACACACACTCCAGTATAGCGATATTTTTCTCTATCAAATACAATGACTATTACATTGTTATAAATGTCATTTATATACCCATCTTACTGCGGTCTCGCACCGCAATGATTGCGTTGAGTAGAGACCGTTTCTCATCATTTAAAACCGATACGCAACAGGGGCCCCGGCGTCAGGATCACGCAACAAGTGAGCAGCTGTGTTGCAAACTCCCTCAAAATGGTGGCAGAAACGGCTGTAGTTACGCCCACCGCAAAACCCGGAACCACGGTGACACCGACACGCACGCACGTGTCTCTACACTGGAATCCGCCCCCAAACACGACCACCGTTTTCAAGAACGCGCGTGCGTGCCCATATCACTGCTCCACGCGTGTCGTGTGCCATGCACACCACGCACTGCGGTTCTCGCACGACAAATGCTGACCCTCCCTCACTCATATTGCTATGTACATGCACACAACACGATATACGAAATAGTAGTATTTACACACACGCGCACGCACGCACGCACGCACGCAAGCTTCAAAATGTACTGGATGCATGGCGTATGTCGCCGATGATAAGATAGTTAATATTGTGTTTGAACAGCAAAACTGCGTCACAGCCCCTGAGTAGAGTTGCTCACATTATGTATATCATGATCTGTAACCATCACCGATCAGGCCATCAGATGAAGAAAAGACGATGCACGCCTGTGTGATTGCACCAGCCAGTAGGGGGTGCCACATTAAGCAAGTGCATGAAGGAGAGGCAGTAGAGGTGGTGGTGAGTGGGGGGTGGGGGTGGGGGGTTGGGCGGGTGTCTGTGTAATGTACTAGCAACGACGCACCGGTCTAAAATTGATAGGGGGCGTGACTTTTACGGTTGTGCCGGCTATGTGATGCTGCCCTCTAGTGAACAGAATACACAACTAGTGTTCATCGAAAGCGGCATGCCTGACATTCGTTGTACGCCGCCAGAGTAGGGTGTTAAAAGTGCAGCGCTGGGCACAACGTAAAACCTAGGCTGCCGCGTGGCGTTCGAGGCAGCCACACAGAGGCCTCTACCACTACTACAGCGACTCTCACAGCAACGTCGACGAAGGCAGAAGCTAAGCGGAGCTAGTAACACCTAACAATGGACACGGCGCCGGTAAAACCACCCGCGCACGAGAAAAGTACTTCCGCTCTCTAAACCGCGGAGAGATGTGCGTGCAGTGTCGTCTAGTGACACCTGCGTACTGTCACCTGACACCTGTCACAGGGAAGTTGTCGCACGAGAATGACAAAGGGTTAAAGGAGGGTTGGGAAGGCAGCGTGGCTGCCCCGCCTCACTCGCTCGCTCTCGGTCTTCACACAGCCCGAGGCCGCGCGTGAAACAAACACGGCACACACCTCTACACATCGACGACGACAGAGTATGGACAGATAAAACGCGGCGGCTGCTGCGGCCACACAGGATTACCTAACCACGACATAGAAATTCCCTACGGAAAGGAAACACGGCCGTGAAATCAGCCCCAAGCTCGTTGCTACGTGCCGCGTGCACACACACGCACGCACGCACGCACGCACGCACGCACGCACGCACGCGCACACACACGTGAAATGAACCCCGTGTGTGTGTGCAAACGTTCTCAATGTACTATCGGAAGATGACTGCTTGAAATACATTTGCATGACCCAGACGTGAAGATGTCTTTCTCTTTTTTTTTCTATTGCTTTCTTTTTCTTTCTTCTCTCTCTCTCTCTCTCTCTCTCGCTCTCTCTCTCTCTGTCTCTCTCCACCCCAATATCTCGTTCTCTGCCAATCTCTTACACCATCCCATCCACCCCCTCACCTCTTTCTCTGCTCTCTCACTGCGAAATCTCGTTACAAACTTAGTAAATATAAACGTAAAATACAAGTGTAAAACGCATCCACCTACATATTGTTGTTTTTCATATCAGGTCTGATCGGAGCCCCCCAAAATAAGACGTGCTAAGTACTGGCCACTGTGCGCAATAACAGGCAGTGATGGTGAGGCCTTGGCCTTGCGGTGATGGGGCAGTAATGGAGAGCACTAGGCCACAAAGCATTGGTCAGCTCAGAGGCGGTCGTCCCTAGGATCCACGGCCACGCAGCGTTGGTGAAAACTTGTTGCAGTGCTGTCTCTGTGTGTAGAACCTGCCAGCAATTTGGTACTGGCCGGCTTTTCTCTCCCAACGGTACCGTACAGTATCGGGCTGCTCACAGTACTGAACAGTATCGGGCTGCCCACGGTACCAAAGAGTATCGGTCTGCCCACGGTACCGAACAGTATCGGGCTGCCCACGGTACCGTACAGTATTGGGCAGCCCATGGTACCGAACAGTATCGGGCTGCTCCCGGTACCATACAGTATCGCTGGGTTCTCCAATCAACACGCAGAGCAGCACGGTCAGTCGCAGCTCTCCTCGGCCACGCCACACTGGCCGGCATCTCGGACGGCGACCACCAGGCGGAGCCGGCGGCAGGGGTCTGTTCACCGCGCCACGGTCCGCCCACCTCTCTCGCAGCGCCCCCCTAGCCTCCACCGCGGTCGCTCGCCGACACGGGGACCACACGCCGCCGTCTCGGACGATTCCTCTCGTCCTCCCGCTGTACGACAGCTGGCGAGCGAGCGGGCGTGCACTCACATCTGTCCGTGCGCCCGCTCTCTAGCTCGCTCGTATGTGCGGCGGTGGCGGCGGCGGCGGCGGCGGCGCGCGTGCTCTCTCACTCGCTGAGTAACTTCTGCAACAAGCTCTTCTTCTCCTGCTGGTGTTTGTGATCCGGCACGGGCTGAAGGAGAGACGCAGGAGCGCGTTAGACGCGCACGCACGCACACACATGCACACACTTATGGTACGCCACACCTACGCGGCGCAGCTATCGAGGTCGTTCCGTACGCAAAGCAGTACGACTTGCCATCCACTCACTCCACTCACTCACTCAATCACTGCACATGCGCACGAACACAGCCACCCACCCACACGCACGCATGAACACAGCCACCCACCCACACGCACGCACGCACGAACACAGCCACCCACCCACACGCACGCACGCATGAACACAGCCACCCACCCACACGCACGCACGCATGCACAAACACACCCACCCACCCACACGCACGCACGCACGCACAAACGAACACACCCACCCACACGCATGCACACGCACACACGCATCCACTCTACTCGCTACCACTTTCCATCGCTTTCACTTTTGCCTTTCATCACAGTTTTGATCTCATGCCGCCTGGACTCACCCGTGGACTGGAAGGCCCCTGAACCCTGACAGTGGGCATGCCAGACTCGCTCATCGAGCGAGCGCTCATCTTCGACATGCCCGCAGAGCTGGTGGTGGTTGGCGGCGGCGAGCACAGCAACTGGTTGCGAAACAAATTGGTCGCCTTCACTTCCGGCAGGTCATCCATTTTCGATACTGCAACGGATGAAATCATTAGAATACAATCCCTCCCACGGTGTCTGGCAAACTAGATTACTGACCATGGTATCTGGCAAACTAGAGAGCCAATCACATTGTCTGGTAGGCCAAACAGCCAACCACAGTATCTGACAAACTAGACAGCCAAACATTGTCTGGCAAACTAGAAAGTCAATCACATTGTCTTGCAGAATTGAAAGTCAATCACAGTGTCTGGCAGAATAGTAAGTCAATCACAGTGTCTGGCAAACTAGACAGCCAACCACAGTAACTGGCAAACTAGACAGACAGCCCAACTATATTAGCTGGCAATTTAAAAACAAACTATAGTGACCAAGAAACTAGACATCGAACCACAGTGCCCAGCAAACTAGACAGAGGGCAACTGTCCACACTGAATGTAATATATACAGGATACCACATTGAATGCAAAATAAAAGATTGCACCAAATATTCACAATAAATACAAACTAGGAACCAGTACGGCGATTGCCAAGCTAAACGTGCAGCAAGATTAGGAACCGCTAAAGCATGAGTACACCACCAATGCAAAATGCTCACTAACTGGTTTGTAGTAAGCGGGAAGGGCTAAAGAATGCAAGTGAAAAGATGAGGTTAGTAAAATGCAAGCAAACGACCAATTGATAGATGTCACAACCCACTCTGGCATGCATATGGTTTACATACATGTACAAATAAAAATTTTTTTTTAACATACGAGACATAAAAACCTGGTGGCTAACCTCCTAATGTATTTACTTTCAATACCATTTCTATTCATTTTGTAATGTGTGTGTGTAATGAGGGTAATAACAAAACTGCCCAAAAGCTGTACCTAGCCACGTAAACATGCGTATGGCAAAACCATGCAATTGTTATTGCTTGAATCCTAGTAACTTACCGTTTCAATAAGCCATATTATATAATGCATATGGGTATTACATAATAACGCAATTATTGCTTAAGCACAGAGGAAAGGCCTGGCTAGCACATCAGGGCATAGATGTTTAATATAATTTACTCACTATATGCAATGTCATGTAATCTAACAATTTTAACTCAACTCTTGAAATCTCAGTTCAACTATAAAATTGTCACTTTTTGCATGAACACACGCACGCACGCACGCGTGCACGCGTGCACACACACAAAAAACACCCAGGCTTCCCTAGCTTTAGTTTATGTACTTGTTAAAATGTTAATAGGCTGAAGCTGTTACTTGAGGATAGGAGAATCCATAGTTGCTACTGAGTCAGTAGGAAAAGCATCCCCCCTCATGATAACCATCAGAAGCACAATAACCCTCATAAAGCCAATCCACTATCAGTGGCAGAGCTCACTGGGTTAGGGACTGGGTAATCAAATAGGCCATCACTCGACTTAACGACCGTTGAAACACTACTTCTACGTTTGAACTTGGGATATATTTTTCCTGTTATGGAACCGTCATTGCACCTATGGTTAACTAAATTGCATTGCATTCAATACAAGGCGTTTCCCTCCCGACAATTCCCGATCGCCAATGCCTATTCGAATGCTGGGTTTACACTACCGACTTTATGTTAGCGAATGGGCTAATTGGACCAACTTCGCAACTATACAACCGACAATCGGCAGTGTAAACGCGAAAGTTGCGCGACCAACCGATCGATAGCAACTAGTTGGGAAATTACAAGATGTTCTATTTTCGCCAACTCGAAGTTGCCAAATTGCAAAATTGGTCCAATTCGCCAATTCGCTAACATAAAGTCGGTAGTGTAAACCCTGCTTAATGCAACTGTGTAGCTAATAATTGTAAGCCAAATGTTCGGGAGTTTAATAAAATACGGAGATTGACGCCTGATAGTAATGATCAGTTAGGTAATGAAACTGCTAAGAACGTCAAGATCACTATTACAGGGCACAAGTATTGATGCCAGTTATATTGCTTTGCTTCATTAATTACAGAAAAACCTGCAAAAATAATTAGATTCAATCTTTAATCTCTGCTCAAACTTCGTATATTTTCAAACTCCCGATTTACTGCACTGAAAAAGAAAGGCAAAGAAGAAGGAACTATTTTCTTTACAGGTGTTAATGATTAATTAAGCAAAAGAATCCTAAAGGTCGAGTAGGCTGAACAAAAAAAGCGTGCAAGCAAATTAAACCTTTAGTTTTGGATTTACTTGAAAGTTGCTTGAACTGAGCGTATCTTTGCTTGGCCTCGCATCTCACATGCTGCACTGCACTGCCCTCTGCCGAGGACACGGAGGACGAAGCAGAGGTCGGTGCGGCCGCGTCTCCTGTGCAATGCAAAGAAAGATAACGACCCCCGAATTGAAATAAATGTAACCTCTACTACTGTAAGCCGCTCGCTGGAATCTACAAAATTCGTCTGCGCTCGCAAAGTGAACGTCGTTTCGACGACGGGTGATACTATGTAAGCACTAATAGCTGAAGCTGCGCGCGTGTGTGTGTGATTCAAGCTGCTCATAAATTTCCATAGTTAAGCCTCGTGGTGAAGACGTTAACGCGCGGACCGGTTAAACAGGGTTCGTACGATTACGGGAATGGGGAGAACATTTTCCCGGGAGTTTCCCGGGATATTAAAGGTCCATTTCCCACGACTTGCGAGATTTTAGCCGTATACACTCTTTTGGTCCCCCGTATTATTGTCCAATCGGCGATTACTGAACAAACTCTTGTGTGAAGTAAATTTTATTGCTTCACGAAAAAGAGAGACAGATTATGTGTTCAATGCTAGTGCTTTTATGACCAAACAATAATAGCACACTTCCAGGATTTTTCCAGGATCATAGTCGACGAGCTTCCACGACCACAGCTCACTTTCCAGGTCTTTCCTAGAACCGGTAAAGGACATTTTAAAATTTCAGGACCTTCCGCGTCATCCACCGGGACACGTACGAACCCTGGAGGCCAGCGACGAACGCAGGCAACGAATCTGTCAATTACCGAACGGATCCGCAAGGTCCTGCAGAAGGCTGTCAAGGTCGGCAAGGTCATTCTGATGCTGCTGCTGCTGCTGGAACTGTGGCTGGGTGGGCGTGAGCGGAGTGCGGGGCGTGGGCGGGCCAGAACCATGCACATGCGCCTGCCCCTGCTGCTGCTGCTGCTGCGCGTGCGGGTGCGCGCCCGGATGCTGCTGCTGCTGCTGCTGCCGCGGGGTGGGCGGCCCTCCTTCGTGCTGCTGCGTGGGCGTGTGCGGCCCGCCGGGAGTCGGCGGCGCGCCCTGCGTCTGCTGGCTGTACTGGGCCTGCTGCTGCGTGCGGTTGTTGCAGAGGGCTCTCAGCTCCTGCCTCACGTACTCGGACGTCGACGCCAGCGGCCCAGCCTGCGACGTCGGCTGCATGCGGCCGTTCCTGCGGAAGCGACGCATACGTCAGCTTGTGCGTGTATACACACGCACGCACACATACATGCACGTGCACACGCACACGCACACGTACAGACGCATATACGGTTATTATGCAATTATATACAGACGTAGCCTATAATGTTGTGTGTGTGCATCCGTGTGCATGTGCACACACATAACATTACAGATTATGTCTGTATATATATATATATATAAACCACGCTTTGATTGACCACATTAATTTAATTACAACGCCATATTTTCATAATTAGACAAACATAATTAAAATAAACCAAAACTAAATTAAAAAAGATTCAAGACCGAAACTTAACGATTTAATTAAATTAAATTAAGCATTAATGAACGACAACGGCGACCACGCACGCACCCTCTCGCGTCCATGCCCGGATGTTGATTGTACATCTGGTAGTTCTGCGCCGTCTCGAAGTTGAAGTGCCGTCCGTCCATCTGCATGCTGTACGACGGTGCACTGTGTATCGGCGGCGTCAGCTGCTGACCTACGTGCATCGGCGGGGTCATGGAAGATGGCGGCTGGCCGCCCGGTGGCACGCCGTTTGGCGACAGGAGCGCGTCGCCACCTGGTGGCACGAACTGCATGGCATTCGGCGCGGCGCGTGGGGAAGCGGTCCTGCCTGCAACGCGGAAGGGCGAGACGGCGGCGGGTTAGCAAGTGCTTATTACTAAGACAGTATGTCACTTATTAATGTGGTAGATCGCTGGTATGAGGTAATAGTGCTTATTACCAAACGAAATGGAATGTCACTAATTAATGGGGTAGAATGCTGGTACGTACCAGCGATCGACATCATTATTAAGTACCATTCCCTCTACCCGCCGACGAGCGTGCAGTCTCCTGTCAACATGTACCATCCGGGACTCGTCGGGCCCGGCGTTCCCAGAGTGCAGCGAACCATATCGGATCCAGGTGAGCGACGCGGCTGGTAGCGCGCGGCGGCGGGTCGTCTCGTCGCGCAGGCCGTCTGTTTAGCGTAATGAGTAATGTTCGAGTATGCCGTTGATCTCCTCTCACATAGTGTGTGACATTCTCTCGTACCAGTGATAGACATCATTATTAAGTACCATTCCCTCGTACCAGCGATCTACATCATTAGTAAGTACCATTTCCCTCGTACCAGCGATCTACATCATTATTAAGTACCATTCCCTCGTACCAGCGATCGACATCATTATTAAGTACCATTCCCTCGTACCAGCGATCGACATCATTATTAAGTACCATTCCCTCGTACCAGCGATCGACATCATTATTAAGTACCATTCCCTCGTACCAGCGATCGACATCATTATTAAGTACCATTCCCTCGTACCAGCGATCGACATCATTATTAAGTACCATTCCCTCCTGCTGCTGCTGCTGCTGCTGCTGCTGTTGCTGCTGCTGCTGCTCGGGGAATGAGTTCTGACCGCCGGCGCGTATCGGCTGTATCCCGCCGGGCGTCGAAAACGTCCGCTGTATCGCCATCGGCCTGCCGCTGCCGTACTGCAGAAAACACGCAGTTAGTGCTGCCGCCTAGCGGGGAAAACCGACGGTGCCACGCACGTGGTGCACGTCGGGACACGTACACACGCTGGCACACGTGTACGCGCAGGGACACGTACACACGCTGGGACACGTACACGCGCTGGCACACGTGTACGCGTTGGGACACGTACATGCATCGGGACGTGCACACGTACACACGTCGGGGCACGTGTACGCGTTGGGACACGTACACACGTCGGGACGTGCACACGTACACACGTCGGGACGTGCACACGTACACACGTTGGGACACGTACACACGTCGGGACGTGCACACGTACACACGTTGGGACACGTACACACCTCGGGACGTGCACACGTACACACGTTGGGACACGTACATGCATCGGGACGTGCACACGTACACACGTTGGGACACGTGTACGCGTTGGGACACGTACACGCATCGGGACGTGCACACGTACACACGTTGGGACACGTGTACGCGTTGGGACACGTACACGCATCGGGACGTGCACACGTACACACGTTGGGACACGTACACACCTCAGGACGTGCACACGTACACACGTCGGGACACGTGTACGCGTTGGGACACGTACACGCATCGGGACGTGCACACGTGCACACGTACACACGTACACACGTACACACGTACACACGTACACACGTAGAGGCCTGTGTACGCATTGGGACACGTACGCATAGCCGATGTATCATTGCCGTAAAATAGTTTAGGCTAGTAAAAACTGGTCAATGGGAGCTAATAGCTTGAGCAACTGGACGCCAGAAACATCATAAATAATTATGAAGCCATGACTTTTAAATATCAAAACTTTTAAAGTGAAATGCTTTGCATGAGTTAGAGTTTGCCAACATTTCGGATTTTTTCGACGGTAATAACTATTTGTGTTTTTTTTTGACAGTGGGCACCTGGATATAGTAGATCATCAACAGACCATCAATATCAATTAACTTTGCGTTTGGTAATAAACGTTAAGTTGGGGGGTCCTTTATTGCATTGCCAGGAGATTTTACTTTCTCAAGTAAAATAAAATATATAGCTAAAATCTGTCATTATGCATTCATTTATGGATCCATATATCTCCATCCTCGATACGGAGGCACCCAATTTGCACACTAGAGTAACGCTTTCACATCTCCACAATACACGCACGCTCTCTCTCACACTGACTAACACTAAGAGCACACCGGCTCAAAGAAATTAGAACACCTCGTTCGATGCCGAAAGTAAGACAATTTACGGAGAGCCCCCACCCCCCCTAGATTTTGACACATTCATTTAGGTTTCACGTTGTCTATGAATCGTCCGGCATCGTCTTTCCACGCTCTGCACTCACGGGGAGTAGTAGTAGTAGCAGTAGACTGCGTACTACTGCCATGCACACACTGCCACAGTAGGTGCTCGTGAATCAACCTGCCTACCTCACCGATTCCCACGGTCGACTTTAGAAGTTGTGCTACCACCTACAGAGTTTTATTGCCTTTCTCACACTGCATTGCACAAGTGCATTCAGCACGGATATTACCTTTTTTTTTCAGGGGCCAGCGGCACCCTCTGGACTACTGGAAATCGAGAAATTTCTCTTCAAGGCAGGTTGGCAGGTATGCTAATAGCGAATTTGCACCTGTGCGGTCCGACGGGTGGTACGTGTTCATAACTACGACGCACGGACAACTGACTATGCACAGCATGATGCAGCAGCAGCTATCTACCTTACCGTACATATGACAGGTGCTTCACATCCGTGCGAATCGCGAGCAATATTACGCACAGCCTATCCATCTCGCACTTCATCTGCGCATTCGTGTGTCTCACGCGCACGTCGTCACAATCATATTTATTGCGCAGTACTGAAGCCATGCGCTTAATTACTCAAAACCGGAGGGGGGGGGCCACTGTCAGAAACATCCGCAATGCTTCCGGTGTCTCACGAGTCTAGCATAATTATAGCAACGATTATTGCGCCGAAACTTCGTGTTTCGCGGCGTATAGTTTCGAAAGTTACGAGATATTAGATTTAGGATAATCACACAAGTATTTATGATGTTCCTTACGACAAGCCACTGTCCATTGACAAGCCACTGTCCATTAGATGGGGCTAGGCAGAGAAAATCACACAGGTGATAATTACATGATGCAATATTCTGTCGTTGCCACCGTGGTAGAAAACCGGCGGCTATTATCACGCGATGTGAGTGGAAGTGGAATTCTGAATCACCCATAATAACGGAACATGTCACACAGTGCGTGCGTATTACATGTAGGATAACCCCAATCAATCCTACGATACCCGTGTACAGGGAGCAAGTCGATTTTAAAAATTAATCACTGCTATTACAGTAAACATCATCACTTGGGATTCTTGGTGAAAATGACATTTAGCATGCACGTTAGAACAAGCGCACACACACACACACACGACTGATCAGAATGTACATTACTGTTGTGCTGTTGTTACCCACACATGATATCAAGAGCGTATTAAGAAGGTAATATTTATTTACCTTCTTTATACGCTCTTGATTATATGCAAGCACTCGCCCGTTGTACACGCTTTTCATTTCACTGTTGGTACGACACGTAGCCGATTATGAATACTACACACACCTGGCCCAACCACCTGGCAATCCTGTCTGATACGGCACGCGCAGTCGCGCACACACACACAGCAGGCAATGGCACATCCACACACCAGAGTGCAAGCAATGATATCCCTTTACCCATGCAACCACACGATATAGATCTGATCGCACGCACGCACGTACGCACGCACGCACGCACGCACGCACACACGCACGCTTACTCTCACATTTCACGGACACACGGTTCGTAAAAAATCAGATGCACAACAAGGAAACTTAACGGCATATACTAAACAGAGTGCGCGTTTTCTCGCTAGCAGGAGAAAGAAAGAAAGAGAAGCTAGACAAGCCAATCGTGCATTCGTGCAACAGAACACCTCACCACCGCCACCGCCACCACCGCCACCACCGAAAGCACGTACCTCTTTGATGCACTAAATAAAAAAAGTTAATCGTAAGAGCACGGGCAGATCGCAGAGAAGGCGTGCGCGCACGAGCGCATATAAAGCAAAAAGATCTCCCTCTCCCGTTTGTCTCCCGCCACAACGACGACCGAACGACAATGTCGGGCGCGTAATTATCAATGTTCCGAGGTTCCAAACGTTCTCAGTGTTCGTGAACGCCCAGCGACCGCCCGCCCACGTCTCCCCCAACTTTCGCATTCGAATTTCGCTTTGGTTTCGATTCGGTCCCCGTGCAATCCACGCCTCCTCCACGTGCCCGCGCTCAGCAGGTGCAAACGATGAGAGAGAGAGAGAGAAGAGCAGGTACCTGCGCTGAGAGGGAAGAAGGGTTCATCTGGGAATTTCGCTGCACGTTCCAGTGGTAGTTTTGAGCATGCTGTTGCTGAGGTGGCACCTACCCAGAAATAATCAGTGTAGCAAAAAAGAGCAGCCCAAAACTCAGCGGCAAAAAAAAACCGTCAGTCGGCCATCGAAACGCTGGGATCTCAATGCGGGATGCTGTGCGACGTTACCATAGTAACGCACGTAGTCAGCTGAAAAATCCTCGTATTACATTTGGATAATTGCTCAGCTTGTACTCGAGCACATTACCTCGCCATTGAGTATCCCGCTAGACTAAAATGATTGACAAGGGTCGGCACTTGTAAAGAAGGCTGCCCCGATACGCCGGAAGGAAGATACTGGTTAAAAAGTAAGAGGGATCCGTAACAAAGGACGCCATCCCGCAGATGTAAGGATTAGCTTGTGCAGAAACCACCTTGTGAACGGGAGCCTTGTGTGGGCCTCGTGTGCCCACCACCGAGGGCAGCACAGCAAGGTGCACATATATATATATATATATATATACACACTCTGCTAAGGTCAGTGTTACCCCTAGCGCGAAATCTTCGCAAAGATCTGACGCAACGCGAGCAATCCCGCGTGTGCAGTTAGCGTCTCAACAGAGGAGGCACTTTAATTTTGGTGAATAGCGCAGCATTCTGGGTCACTGAACTCTCTATCGTGCCACGGCGAGCGTCGCCCTGGACATCTCGCATCAAGGTGATCTCTGTCGAGCTAAAGCAGACTACTACTGCTACTACTTACACTCCACGGGGGCGCAGAAGCAACACTTCACGCGCCTCACGTTTCGTGCGAAGCGCGGTTAGTAACGGTTAAGAAAGAAGCCGGGAGAAGAAACGAGAACGCTACACAAAACGACGCACGAGAACACAACGGGGAATTACCAAGATGTGAACGCAAAGCTATAACAGATGATAACTGGCTATTGTGTGAAGGAAATAAGCCACAGCGACTTGCTACCACAGTGATGCACTAATCTATAGCAGTTATCCAGTAGGATACGTCACAACACAAACGTGAAAACGGTCACAAACAGAACAAACATCTAGAACAAAAACGGTGCAAATTTGACGTACTCTCACACACACTTACACAATGAACGGCATGATGGAAACACACGCACAGACGCACGCACGCACGCACGCACGCACACACAATCACACACAATCACACACGCATGTAGGGTAGCGAAATGACACATATGTGAATGAAAGGTGAACACCCGTTCAATCCTTCAACAGCCTATTTCAACAAGACACACCTTATAACACACACCCAAGAGAAACTACACCGCTACCCTAAACCCACCCCCTTTCTAAACATGGCACGCCAGATGGATGGACCAACAAACCGGACTCGCACAACGAATTACACATACAGTCACATGTGAGAAATGACTTTTGAAGACATACAAGTCGATGAGATTACGTGTCCATTAGACACCTGTACGACACTGCAGCTAAAGTAGTTTAATGAGAATTAACAAGCCTGATATATATATATATATATGAGAGATATGAGGAGAGAAAG